AGAATTTAAAAATAATGACAGAAGAGTAACAAACTTGAATGTAAATTGCAGAAGATGAAAGACGGAAGTGTGGTGGCTGCCTAGTCCTTGTGTGTTGATGTCTCTTTTCGTGTGATGTGCCTCTCTTATATAAATAACCCTAACCCTAATCTTAATCGAGGTTTGGGCTCAACTAGTCCATGAAACACATCATAAATTGGCTTCAGTGCAGGTCCATGAACTTCAAACACGTGCAGTATTTTCAATACTTATCCAAATTAAGCGATTTTGGTCTCCAACGAAAGCCTTTTGAGCTAGCTTTAAAACGCCACCGTTTCTACTATTTTCGGAGCTCTAATGAATTTAGGAGACTTAAATTACTGAAGCATGTCCATTGGGCCGGCCTGGTGCACTTGACCCGTTTTGGATAATTTATGTAAAATCCAATTTAGCTCCGAATTGAATGATTTTGGATCCTGTGGAAAGCTCAATGTGTCTAGTTTATAATTATTTTAGAATTATGTTATTTGGAGATCTGTAGAAAAAATGATAAATAAAACAATAAACTAATGTCAGTACCCGTATAAAATAAAATATGACATTTGGCCCAACTTTTCAAGTCCAAAATTACTTTAAACTGTCCTAAAATTAATAATGTGTAAAAATTAGATCAAATAGATTAAAATCTAAATTATTAGCCCAATGAAGCCCAATCAATGAAAATGCACTAATAATAGACAATTAAACACAATGCACCAATTAAGATAAGTATATAAAGATAAGAAAATGCGGGAAAATAATGACTCATCACGCTGCAGATGGGGTGGAGGTGGAGGATGCAGTGCGGCGTTAGGGTCGAGGCTGTGGTGAGCTGGAGGTACACGATGCAATGTGGGTGGAGGCTTCGAGTGGGGGTGGAGGGTGGGCGACTAGCGTCACGGTGGGGTGGAGGTTGTGGTGGGGTGGGGTGGAGGTGGAGGCCGCGGTAGGGTGGAGGTCGAGCCCGCGGTGCGGCTGGAGTCTACGGTGGACGATGCGGTGCCTACCGTCGCGGTGGGGTGGAAGCTGCAGTGGGGTGGAGGTGGAGGCGGAGGCTGCGGCTGGGGTGTCACGCGGTGCGCGGTGGCGACGTGAGGGAGGGCGTCCGGAGAGTCCAAATGAGGGTGGTAGGTGGTGGTCGCGATGCTCGAGAGTAAGGGAAGTGGCCGCGATGCTGGAGAGTAAGGGGAGATATACAAAAATGGTATCATTTGCAAATGCGAAAACGGGTTTTCCACGTCGGTTATACCCACACCCGACGTTGAAAGCCCTTGCAGAAGGGTTTTCAACGTCGGTTGAGGGTATAACCGACATCGAAAGCCTACTTTCCACGTCGGGCATGCTAAAACGACGTAGAATGTGTCAGAATTCGACTTTCAACGTCGGTTAGTCAACAACTGACGTTGAAATCATATTCAACATCGGCTAAGATTTAACCGACATTAAACAGCAACGTTGAAAGTATATTTTCTAGTAGTGTTACTAGAATAGGAACACTTTTTGTACACAAAAAATAAGAAATTTCACCCAAAGGGTCGAGACCATCGTCTCGCTGTTGGCTAAGGGTGAGACTGTTGTCTCACCATTTGCCATAGGTGAGACGGCGGTCCCGAAAGTGGAGACGGTGGTCCCGACCTGACAGGCATGAATTTCTATAAAAAGGGGGCCTTCTCCTCATATTCTACACAATTCTACAACTTCTCTTACTGCACAATTCTCAAAATACTCTCCTAAAACCCCTCTGAAGCATTTCCAGAGTTCTAGAGTTCTTAGGAAGCGTTCTAGAGTGTTGCGAGAAAAGAGCAATCATCTTTGTAGAGTGTGGGGTTTGCCAAAAATCACCCTTTTCAAGAGCATATTATAAAAAAAGCTTGCTTTAAAGGTTCTTCCATACCCCTTTCTCTATTTTATTGCTTTTTAGATATTATCTCTGTGCATTAGTTATTAAGGGTCATGTAGTCGATAACTTAATTTTCACAATGAATAAATAAGGGTAAAAGCATAGTTTTAAAGTTCTTATTTCTTTATAAAAAATGATCCATCATAGGGAACCGGAAAGGGGCGTCGTGGGGAAGCTAATACCTTCCCCACACGTAACTAACTCCCTTACCTAATGTTAGAATTGCGCAGCAGAATGTTTGCGTTTATGGACAAAACCAAGAGGGGGGGGGGTGAATTGGTTTCTTAAACAAAAATTAGGGTTTTAAAATTTTTCCCAAATATCACCGATTAAAATGCTGTGTAAAGTAAATAGAGAAGGGATAGAAGATTACACAGTCGATTTATATAGGTTCGGATCAAAAGACCCTACGTCCAGTTGCTAATCACTCAAACAGAGGATTAACAATGTCACTATAATCACAGTTATACAAACAAATTACAAATGAAAAGATAAGGTAAAGAATACACCTCTCTTGAGTCACACAAGAGATGAACACCTCCTTTGAATCCACAAAGGATGAAGAACAGATTTCCCTAGAGACGGCACAAAACACAATCCACCAAGAAAACCCACTCAGTGATTCTTATCGTTTCTAGCCCACACTAGGATTCAAAAGCCCCTTTTTCCTCCCAACAAACAGTTCTCTAGCAGTCACAGCTCTTAACTTTTGTTTGAAAAGGGTTGTTCACTTTGCAGAGAGCCTTAGAGAACCTTAAGTAGAGAGATTAGGGTTTGGGAATTGGGGATTTTCGAAAATAGATGAATTGGGAATAGGGTTTTCGAAACTTGGTCCAATTTTGAATTTCAAAACACATATCTGACTGAAATAATGAATTATCTTGAGTGTTAATCGATTATTCTAGAGCCAAATTCGCAGAGGACCAAAAACTACATCATTTAATCGATTAATAGGTCAGTTAATCGATTAACAACCCAATTAATCAATTAACAGGGCATTTAATCGATTATTCTAGAGAGCAAAGACTGAAATTGGTTTTCTTTCTGTAATAATCGATTATCCTGCCATATAATCGATTATTCCAGTATGTTTTTGATAAAAATGAGTTTTTAGAGCTTTTAAAGAGTGGTCTATGTGCTAGCTATCTTGGTCTCTAATATTACAGACTCAAAAACATAAAAACAGAGTTATTACATAACATTACAAGTCTTCATATCTTCAAGTCCTTTATTCTTGAATCATCATCAAAATCAACAAGCTTCATATCCATATATGTTCAACATTCATATCCTTGTATGTTTCAACACCTAACTCTGGTTGTAATGACCAAAGTCGGTTTTTCTTAAAAACCACCGCCTTGTTTTCCTTTTCCAATGTTTTTGGTAAAAACATTGGTGGCTACTCCTCGAACCCTTTCAAAAACCTCGCCCTTAGGTACAGCCCGATTATCGGACAACCTAAAGGCGTTGAACCACACTTTAAAAAACGCGATTCAACAAAACCATCGCGTCACTCCGACTGCCTCTTTTGACGGCAGCGACAGATGGTGACTTCGCTGGGGAAGCTAGAGAGTTGATCCCATTTAGTGATAGACTAGTTTAAGAAATAAAAGCTAGAAATTACGCTTTTACCCTTCTTTGCTTTTATAACATGCTTTATTGGTTGGATTTAATAATTATTGTATGCTTATTTTCTACAATTGTTTGAAATAAACAACTGTACACAAACCCTTACACATAGTAGTTCCCCCTATACCCGGGGGCAAGTGGGATAACCTTAGGGAGTGGGGTGCATTGTACGATTTCTCGTAGTGAGGGCCATGAACCCAACAGTATGGTCGGAAACCACCACTTAAGGTGATAACCTTCCTCTTTTGGCTAAAGACTGACAAGGCCCTAGTGTCATGCATGGTCTGAAGGCTGGGAGAGTGGGGACCCTATAATGGGAGCACCTTGGGGGCCTGGCCTTGGTGAGGATATTTAGAACTACCTTGAATACGCACTCTTCTGCAGGATACCCCTACCTCATGATAAAAACGTCACTTTGTTCATGGATGAGTGAATTGTTTGTGCATTTGTTTGTTGCATTTTGTTTGCTGCATTGCATAATCATACAATAGCAAAAATAAAAAAATCTCAAAAACCTTTTTGCAATAAACAACCTAATCTCGGACAGTCTACATTTTAGCTAGTCTGGTTTCATGTTATTTGTAAGCTAAGTAGCCACATAGACCAACAGAAGAGATAAGGGGATATAAAACCAAATTTTCATAATAAACAACTTTATCTCGTACAGTCTTCATTTTAGCTAGCCTGGTTTCAGGTTCTTCGTAAGCTAAGTAGCCACATTGACCGATAGAAGAGATAAAGGGTTATAAAAAAATTTTAAAGAAATAAAAAATACCTTTTACAAATGCATAAACACACCCATGCTAGGGGGTATTAGATATCTCTAAGACAAAGGCAAAAGAGACCCAAGTGCTCTTGTAAACTTCCATAAGGAAGGGACAAGTGTGCTAAGGTATATGGGGACCTTTGTTATACTTGTCAAATCCATGATGGGGAAGGAACCATTATACCAAAGAGGGTATGGCACTCCGCAAAGCGTAAGCTTTAAGGATGATACCAAAGCCATTGTCTTAAGGCATATCTATCCCACACCAACCATTCATTTTTAATAAAAATCCTAATTCATGTGCATTCTAGAAAGTGGTTGGTCTTCTTCTTGTCCTCATTTGCGCACAAAAGGCCAAGAGGATGGAGCAATCGAAAGAACAAAATTGCAAGCTCACCGCTGAGCTTAACCCCATAAAGGAGCAAATGGCCCGGTTAATGGAGCACATAGAAGAACAGAATTGCAAACTCATCGCTGAGCTTATTTCCATGAAGGAATAGATAATGCAGTTAATGGAACTAATGCGCCATCAACATATCCACCATAAAGGCATCCATATCGACCACATAGGCGAAAGGGTGGAGCAAGGACTGAAGAGCGGAAGGATCACTCAACCTCTCGCTCCCAATGCATCATGCAAGAAGTTCCTTAGTGTCTGCCGTCGAAGCAAGAGATCGAACTCTAGCATCATCCTCCAGCGAAGACTGATCCACCAATCGAGTGTACTAGCCTGTAATTTAGCGCTCTCATTTTGTTCCCGGCTCTACAGATTTCTGCCTGCCACATAGCAGTCCAAGTTGGATCCGGGTGCTGACTTCCGGGCCACGCGATATCAGCCATCTGTAGAAGCACGATCTTGCGGGCTTCCTCCGTTTTGCTCTACATATTCCGCAAACCGCTGCTCGTGGCCGTGAGATCCTGATTTCCGCTTTGTGTTTCTGATCAATGAAATGAGGCATTCTCATAAGCATTATTATTTTTCATTTTCCCTTAAAAACAATTGACAATAAAGGTGTAAATGCGCTGTTCGTGATGGATGACTTGGAGACTCCGATATGAACACACGGGTCGCATAGTGTGAAGTGTGAGACCTTCGGACATAAAGGCTGCTAATAAAATAAGCTCACGGGTACAATGATTTTGAGGCAAGAGAAAAGAAATAAAAAGTAGTTGATAAATCATACATATACCGAGGATGTGGTTAGCACAACTAATGAGATATACTTCCCACGGCTATAGCCGCCGCCAAGACCGAAAGATCTAGACCAATTCTGCTTATGAAAAAACCCTATTCCAAATTTTATGTTTTGGCCCCTATTTATAGTTTTTCGCGCTCGACAGGTCAAGACCGCCGTCTCCTCGACAGGGTCGAGACCGCCGTCTCGACTAGGCGGAGGGTCGAGACCGCCGTCCGGGTAATCCGGACCTCCGTCTCGACTAGGCAGAAATTGAGACCGCCGTCCGGGAAACCTAGACCGTCGTCTCGACTTTTGCAGTAACGAGACCGCCGTCCGGACAATCGAGACGGCGGTCTCGTCCCGGCGTTGAGACGAGACGGCGGTCCGGTCCTTCCAGACGGCGGCCTCGTCCCTTCAGGGTGAGAAACTTTATTTTCGGGCCAAAAAACCTTCCTATCTTGGTACGGGGGCCTAATAGTCTCTCCTAGTGGCTTGTTAGGCTTTGGCCGTCTTCAAATAGGAAGTTTTCTGACTTTATTCGAGGCCGAGCAAGATTTGGGGTCTACATTATTCAAACTCTTTTTCAAGGTTTTATATTCAGATTTTAAGTCCTTAAAAGCAGTAAACAACTCTTGATATACATTATGCAAGGCATTATAATCATTTTCATCATCACTTGAAGAACAATTGGAATCACTTACCTCACGAGTCGAAGAAATGTTGTCATTTTCCATCAAACAAATATTTTCTTCAACTTCCGAATCGCTTGACTCCGAATTTGAGTCACTATCATCCCAAGCGATATAGGTTTTTTTTTGAAGAATTTCTTTCCTTTATGGTCATCACTTTTCTTGTTTGGACAGTCAGATTTTACATGCCCTATTTCACCACAACCATAACATTTGAAATTTAAAGAAGAACTTTCTTTTACCTTTCCCTTACCTTTGAAAGGTTTCTTCCCTTTGGCTTTCATGAACTTTGTAAATTTCTTGATCATAAGACTCAAGTTTTCATCTTTTCATTTTCTAAGTCTTCTTCCTCCTTCTTGTTCTTGCTTTTATAAACTTCAGTTTTGAAGGCTAGATTTCTCTTTTGATGTTGGTCTTCTTCATTGTTTAGCCTTCCGAGTTCAAGTTCATGCTCTCTCAACTTCCTAAAGAGAGCCGCCATAGACATGGTAGCAAGATTTTGTGACTCTGTGATGGTTGTCACCTTTGGTTGTCATTTCCTATCCAAAGATTTGAGAACTTTTACATTTAAATCATCAGTATAAACAATCTTACCTAGCCCGGTGAGATGGTTCACAATGTGTGTGAAACGCTTTTGAACGTCAAAAATTGATTCTCCAATTGCATTCTAAACATTTCATATTCTTGGATCAATAAGTTCTCCCGTGCTCTGTTTACATCATCAGTACCTTCATGGGTTACTCTTAGTATTTCCCACACTTCTTGAGCACTCTTGCAAATAGATATCCTGTAAAACTCATCAAGGGTCAAAGCAGACGAAATTATATTCCTAGCCCTAACATCATATTGGGCTTTCCTATTTTCTTCAGCCGTCCATCTAGAAAATGGTTTAGGTTCTTATACATCACTTACAGTAGCTTTAGGAATAAAAGGACCATTTACAATTGCATTCCATACACCCCTATCAACAGTCTCCAAAAATATTTGCATTCCGACTTTCCAAAAAGGATAATTTTGCCCCGCAAAAAGTGGGGGTCTAATGATAGAAGCACCCTCGGCAAAGGTTTGGTTTTGTCCAGCCATTTTCAAAATTTGAATATCAAAGCGGGCTCTGATACCACTTGTTAGAATCGTGCAGCGGAATGTTCGCGTTTAGGGACAAAAACCAAGAGGGGGGGTGAATTGGTTTCTTAAACAAAAATTAGGGTTTTGAAAATTTTCCCAAATTTCACCGATTAAAATGCTTTGTAAAGTAAAGATATAAGGGAAAGAAGATTACACAGTTGATTTATACTGGTTTGGATCAAAAGACCCTATGTCCAGTTGTTAATCACTCTAAAAGAGGATTAATGTTGTCACTATAATCACAGTTTACAACAGATTACAAATTGAAAAAGATAAGGAATAGAAAACACCTCTCTTGATTCACACAAGAGATGAACACCTCCTTTGAATCCACAAAGGATGAACAAAAACTTTTCCTAGAGACGGCACAACACACAATCGACCAAGAAACCCACTCAGTGATTCTTATCGCTTCTAGCCCACACTAGGTTTTCAAAAGCCCCTTTTTCTTCCCTACAGAAAGTTTTCTAGCAGTCACAACTCTTAACTTTTGTATGAAAAATGTTTGTTATTTTGCAAAGAGCCTTAGAGAACCTTAAGTAGAGAGAATAGGGTCTGGGAAATGATGATTTTCAAAAACATAAGAATTTGGAATAGGGTTTTCGTAAATTGGTCTAGATTTCGTCTTGGCATGTCATGGTAAGACCATGCACATGCGTCCATATACTCCCTTAATTTTTGTGCTAACCCATCCTCGACATTATCAATGATTTGGCTATCAATACTTATTTCTTTTTCTCTTGCCTCCAAATCGATGGCCTTGATTTCTTCTTGGTAGGGCTATATGTATTGAGCTTATTTTATTAGCAGCCTTTACATGTCCGAGGATATGGTCCCCTTCTCACTGTCTGACCCGATCCATTCGCCTTCGAATTTCGGATCTCCAGAGAGTCATCCATCACGGACATGATTGTTTTTATTTACGATTCTGTTTAGGCTTAGATTTTATTGTCAATTGTTTTAAGGGAGAAAAAATGAAAAATAATATGAATGCTTATGAGAATGCCTCATTTCATTGATAAAAAAAGAAATGTTTACAAAGCCCTTTTAGTCAAGGATCTCACGGCCACAGAGCGGGACCGCGAGAGATATGTAGGAAACTTAAAAAACATGAAGAGCCCTTATCGGCTAGCCTTCTCTATCCCTCCTCATTACTCTAGTGGCGATAGAGGCTTGATATCCATGTTAGGAGTGGCGGAGTCGAAAGTGAGCCACCCGACATCCAACAACTCTTGGACCTTGTATTTCAAGGCTCGACAATCTTCCATAGAATGCCCAGGAGCGCCTAAATGGTAAGCGCACTTTTCGTTAGGCTTATACCACTCGGGGTAGGGTGGATCAATCTTCCTTGGAGGGATGCGTGCTAGGAGTTCGGTCTCTAACGGCTTCGACGGCAGACTCCCATAGGAGGTTGGAATAGGGGTGAACTCCTTTCTTTGCTTTCGTGGCTGCCTAGCTTGTTGCGCAGAGGTAGAAGGAGTAGTAAGGTTGATGGCATTCACGCTTCTCTCCTCCTTCTTGCTAAGGAACTTCTTGAATGATGCATTGGGAGCGGGAGGTTGAGTGATCCTTCCACTCTTCAGCCCTTGCTCCACCCTTTCACCTATGTGGTTGATGTGGATGCCTTTATGGTGGATATGTTGATGATGCATTAGTTCCATTAACTACATCATTTGTTCCTTCATGGAATTAAGCTCGGTGATGAGCTTACGGTTCTGTTCTTCTATGTGCTCCATTAACTGGGTCATTTTCTCCTTTATGGGGTTAAGCTCGGTAGTGAGCTCGCGATTTTATTCTTTCGATTGCTCCATCCTCTTGGCTTTTTGCGCGAGTGAGGACGGGAAGGAGAAGGCCATTCACTTTCTAGAATGTACATGAATTTAGGAACATTTATTTTTATTTTGAAATGAAATGAATGTTTGGTGTGGGATAGATATGCCTTAAGACAATTGCTTTGGTATCATCCTTAAAGCTTATGCTTCGCGGAGCACCATACCCACTTTAGTATAATGGTTCCTTCCCCATCATAAATTTGACAAGTGCAACAAAGGTCACCATGTACTTTATCATACTTGTCCCTTCCTTTTAGAAGATTACAAGTGCACTTGGGTCTATTGCGCCTTTGTCTTAGGGATATCTAATGCCCCCTAGCATGGGTGTTTTTATGCATGCACTAGTACAAAAAGGTGGTAGATGTTCAAAGTGAGATAACTTTTGATCTGGAATGTCAAATTTGGATGCACAACATATTAAAACGAAGAGGAAAAAGTGAAGAACGAGTGGTAAATTCCCAACGGGAATTTGACCCAACAATTTTCCCAAAAAATGCTCCTAAGACCCATTTTTTGAGAGATTTATTAAGATGATGTGTAAAAGGTATTTTTGTATTGCTTTAAATTGTTTTTTTTTATAATCCTTTATCTCTTCGTTGGTCAACGTGGCTACTTAGCTTACGAAGAACCTAAAATCGAGGCTAGCTAAAATGAAGACTGTCCTAGATAAAGTTGTTTATTATGAAAATTTGGTTTTATATCCCCTTATCCCTTCTATCGGTCTACGTGGCTACTTAGCTTACAAAGAACTTGAAACCAGGCTAGCTAACATGTAGACTGTCCGAGATAAGGTTGCTTATTGTAAGAAGGTTTTTGAGATTTTATTTTATTTATTTTTGCTATTGTATGATTATGCTATGCAACAAACAAATGCACAAGCAATTCACTCATCCGCGAACAAAGTGACGACGTTTTTATCACGAGGTAGGGTTTTCTTGCGAGAAGAGTGCATTGGCAAAGGTAGGTTCTAACTATTCTCACCAAGGCTAGGTCCCCAAGGTGCCCCCATTATAGGGACCCTTCAATCTCTCGAGTCTTTGAACCATGCATGGCAA